TGCTGTTGTTGTTGCTGTTGTTGTTGTTGCTGTTGTTGCTGTTGCTGTTGTTGCTGCTGTTGTTGTTGCTGTTGTTGCTGTTGTTGTTGCTGTTGTTGTTGTTGTTGCTGCTGTTGTTGTCGTTGTTGCTGCTGTTGTTGTTGTTGTTGCTGTTGTTGGTGCTGTTGTTGTTGTTGCTGTTGTTGTTGCTGCTGTTGTTGCTGCTGTTGTTGCTGCTGTTGTTGTTGCTGCTGTTGTTGTTGCTGCTGTTGTTGTTGTTGCTGCTGTTGTTGTTGCTGTTGTTGTTGCTGCTGCTGTTATTGTTGCTGCTGTTGTTGTTGCTGCTGCTGTTGTTGTTGCTGCTGTTGTTGTTGCTGCTGCTGTTGTTGTTGCTGTTGTTGTTGTTGCTGTTGCTGTTGCTGTTGTTATTGCTGTTGTTGCTGCCGTTGCTGTTGCTGTGGTTGGTGTTACTGCTGTTGCTACTGTAGTTGCTGTTGCTGTCAGTACTATGACATATTTCCATGTTTGCTCCAGGTTCGGCACCAGTACCTTCCGCATGACCAGTTTGGTCAACGCTATCACGAATGCGTTCAATACAGAATTTGATTTAGCTGAGGTGAGTCTGTTTTCCACTTAACGCGCGCGCAAAGCACAGTAGTAAATATAGTCTATTTCCTGTCCTTTGATTAAACTGACCCTTCCCTCTTGGAAGACATAGGAATGAGACTACTGAAGGGGTTCAAGAAGGAATCATTTAAAAGTCAAACCGCTAATACCCTTTTATCTTGTTTCATCCACTTTTCTCTTTCCTTCTTTCTCATTTAACCACCTCCATGTATTTTTAGATGCAAAAATTCTTTGCGGAATCTAACGCAGGGACAAGTGAGTCTGCCAGAAAACAAGCCGTCGAACGAACCAAGACGAATATCGAATGGCTGAAGAAAAACGAGGCCCAAGTTGAAGCTTGGCTGGAAAAACATGCATAAAACATTATAATCATTTAACGAGAAAATAACGAAACGAGCGATTTTTTTCTCTCCATATACTTCTTCATTTTTCTTTATGCAGTCCTACGTACAAGAATTCTGTTTCTTGATTTACACAGTTCGATGTTTCCTAGCATCTACCGCACAACATGCTGACGCCAAGTTCAAGCTGCCACGAGTCGAAAGCAAGTCGTACGATCGATTTACACGAAGCAATTCGTGTCGTCAACATGGTGCGCGCGACAACTGTGAGAAAAATCGAACCGTGTAAATCAGCCTTTTGCGATTATTGATTATACATTCTGTTAATATAAGACACTATGAAAAGTGTGATGATTACCCGCTGGACTGGGGTGGCTTTGCTCGTTGACTCTATGGCTACGTCATCCTTTTTAGGAGTAATAGGTTTGAGCCCGCGTTCAAAACCTTACTGCACACTGCGTACGCAGATAATTGTTACCTTATAATCAATGAACGATATGATATACGGTAAGACCTTACTGTACACTGTGTACGCAGATATTCGTTACCTTATAATCAATGGACGATATGATGTACGGTAAGACCTTACTGTACACTGTGTACGCAGATATTTGTTACCTTATAATCAATGAATGCTATGATATACGGTAAGACCTTACCGTACACTGTGTACGCACATAATTGTTACCGAGTTGAAGCAGAGTGAAATAAATAGACTGATTCTCTTTCATTTACCATAAAATATTATTGCTTAGTGGGACGGACCATTACATGCTTTCAGTTCGACCCTGTTGAGCTGCGCAACTGCTGTACTTGCGGTGGTGATAAGCGATGCTTTCAGTAAAGAAATATACCAAGCAAACGCATACAAAATTGTTTGCAGTGGATGTTACAAAAAAATCAAATATCGTTCAACATAAATTCCTGCAACCTTCCCCCTCAATTATCTAATAATTCATCCCTCATACACATGTTATGTGAATGATTTATCAAGGCTTCGCGTATTTCCGTTGATAGGAAACCACATCAAAAGTGAAGCTTATTTTGATAGCGGATACCAGGCCCCCGCTAGGATAGAGTAAGAGCTATGACTCCCACTGTGAGATAATCACATAAAACTATATCTACTGTGACCTCACCGTAACTGACATACACTGACATACAACTGAGATGCTCACGAAACGGAATAAATAGAGTTATTTTGTCCCTCTTGCCTCGAAATGCACCCCAAGCCTCGACTGTATGTTAGGTATCTTTCTTTTCAATCCTTTTCGTTCGGTAAGACACAGGGATCCTAATTTAAGAAAATAAAATTACTTCATGATTGAATGAATAGCCTTACTAATCCTTATTCAAACTAAATAAGCCGCTTATAGCATTATTTATTTGTTTTCGGCTTTGATTTCAACGCGAAAAGCTTATTAAAGAATGCAAGGAAGACGACCCTCCCACCCCTCCCCYAGAACTAATATTTGTAACCAATCCCAAGTCACGTCCTATGAATCTCATTTGCAGCTTTGTTCAAAATCCTTCATTTAAAAATCTAGTTTTCTCAGCTGAAAAACTCTTTACTTCTTGTATCTCTTTCCTTGGGTATTCAAGAAGAGTAGATGTTCAAATTCAGGGTAAATAATAGATGGTTTGTTAGGTTTTTGGTGGAATAATATGAGTGATTTTGAGCGACATGAGAACGGAGTCGCATGTCTGTCCTCAACGAGTTCAAAATCCACAGAAAGTCTAGAGGAAAATATACGCAAAATACTGAATGTTGTTGATGGAAAAGGCCGTGTTCTTGTTGATAGGTAAGTTATATGCGTGTTTGAGAGTTTCGAGGTGTTTTATGGACGTTAGTGACCTTCTAGTTAACCTTTACTTTAGCGAATGAGTGATTGACTTGATAAAGTTATTTCTGGTCGACCTGGTGTAATTCAACTCCTTTATGACATTTTATATCATATTTGCTGCCATTTTGTCTAGCTATGCCGGCTTTACCACACACCATACGTTCACTCTCTACTCTACCATGGAATATTGGTAATCATTCCTAAGGTTTCTTTGTGTTTTAGTAATGACATGGCCGAAGCAGCTCAACAACTCACCGTAGATGCCAACGGCTTCCATGAATTTCTGTCTCAAATACAATACGAAAATAACCCCAAAACAAGCGATAAAATGGCTAGTGGACAATTTGCTTCACCCACGAGGAGATCAAACAGTTGTCCTGAAGACCTAGCAAAGCAAAGCGATTATAAACAAAGGGAGAACGAGAATAAAGGCAGCGATAAAGGACCAATTCGTGAGACTTGGGAGATGGATAGTGGTACTCATGATCTGGGCAACTACGAACCAGCTTTACAACAACTCATGTCTGCTGCAACTGGTAAAGGACAATCTAGATCCTCTAACTTCTTAGAATTAGCGAATACGGTGAGTATATTGATCAATCTTTTATGGGTTTAGGTAGTAAAGGTTTGATCTTGTGATTTGGATGTCAGATATTCAGACATCGAGGTTTCAAGAATCATTTTTGGGGCGAAATTGAATCTTCATATTTTATAATTTTCTCATAAAAAAATCGTAGATTTACTTCTGATTTTTACGTACTTCCGTTATATTATATTACAAAGCCATACCGCCCTTCCCAAAGGATTTCAAATATTCTATTTTATATATCTTTTTGGCATGGAAACAAAGCGCGCTTATGGTAGATTCCATTGTATCTTCTAATTCAATAGCTCAGTTTGCGTTAGAATATCTCGATTCGTTTAGAACATGAAAGCTTTGTTATATATTTTTCAAATATACCAGCTCTAACAATTAGCTAGATCTTGAGAAAATTGCTGTAAATTTGGTAATAGTTTCTTGAGATTTCAATTAAATGTTTAACGGTGTATACATTAAATGGTTTTATTGTTGCCATCATATGTTGTTGCCATTGTATGAGATTCTCGCGTGGATTCTGTCAAAATAGTATAGAATTCAAAATAAAACTTCGAAATCATTCAATAATTTCAGCAATTTTTTCCATGGTTTTCTAATAATTTGTTCTTTATTTAAAAATCTCAAGCATTATCATCGTTATGAGAATATTCTAACCTGCGGCGAAACTGTTAATCACTGTCTCTTGTTGGTTTCTAAATATTTTTATTGTTAATTTAATGGTTTTCGGTGAGAACTAATTCAATCCACTAGCCATGATTGATATTTTCTAGTAAATTATTGGATTATTTGCTATAATATCCCATCTAACACGAATGTTTATCGTGTTTCTCAATTTTACACGGATAGAATAAGATAAACTGTAAGTTATTCTTTATTCATGACTAACAAGGCGTTTGTCTTGAGCACGGACAATCATCAGTAAGACTTCTTCTTTCTCGCTCATCTCTGAGACAGTCTGTCATCTTCGAAAACAAATTTCCTGATTCATGAAATAGTCTTTGTGTCTTGTTGATAATTATTCCGTGAATTTCCTTTCACAGGACGTTACGTAAATCATTCAAAACTAAGAACAAGAAATATTGTTTTTTATTTTCTTTCCTATGGTTAAATCATTTTCATCAACATACTCCACTTAGCCGCTGTGGGCCTTTGTATGACTAGATTCATTGCTACTTTTGACTATTTCTCCTGAAATCATCTAAAAATATTTGTAACCAACTTTTTCTTTACTTTTTTGAAAGAAATTTCTAGCAAAATATGAATTTAAAAACTCCAATATTTATTGATGTTTTCAAAGTTTTATTGTTGTATAAATAATAAATATTTTATAGATTTTCAGCCTCACTTCTCTCTTAAAATGTATACAAAATATTTTTGCATAGTATAAGTTATTCTAGAATGTACATCTTGGCCTTATATTGAAGTGTTAAATATTAAGAATGCCAGAAATAACCACTTCTAATAACCTCCGTATATTGTCATTCAAATTACTCCTAATATAGCGTGGGATTAGCCAATCAGAAACCAGTCTGTTAATAGTCTATATACTGAATACCTGCAATAACTTGGTTTACATTTTGAATAGCTATGGACCATGTGTTTGGCAGTATTGTGGTGTATTAGTAGATCATATAGTATGTGGAGTGCATTAGCCGATAACCTGCCCTGTCATGCATGCCATATTGCTATTGACCATTGTGTATACAAGTATTCTTTCTTGACGAGCAATTAGCACACCTGACTGAATAAACCATTCAACATGACTAGTTGCCTTTACAAATATGACTTAGAAATATACATAACTCATAGGTCAATTTTATGAATTTTTGATCAAGATTCATTAAGGATAATTGTCTTTCGTTATTATTCTGGTTATAGGTGTATTGGAATGTGATAATATTATTAATAATAATGGAAACTTTATTCTTTTTCTTGAATACAGTTGTAAATCTCTCTACGTATAGGCAATATTGACAACTGGCTACTTGAAATTGATTGATATATAAATGATATAGATATAGATATATGAAAAAAAAAATTAAGTCTGGGCTCTCCCAAATCTTATTTTTATAACAAAATATAATAACAATGAAAACTTTATTTTTAACATTTTTACAGCAATTATAAATCTCTCTACTTAAAGGCAATTTACAATTGACTACTCGAATATGACTTTACGAACACTTGAAAATTCACAAAACTAAACCTTTATCAATTCAGGATTATCTCATGCTTTGTTACCACAACAAAAAATGTAATAAGTGGATCTGATGATGATTTTCGTTACGCTCCTAAATATAGAATTCTGCTGCTTTTTCTCTAAACCTAATTCGTTCATCCTTTCTACAAACTCTGATGATTTGTTGGAGAAGACAACAAGGGTGCTGATGGTTTGTCAATTTATGAGTTCCAAATATTTAAGTTTCTTACGTTCAATAATAATAATAATAATGATAATGATGATAATAATAATAATATAACACTCTATATAGCGCTCAACCTATTAAGATATTCTAAAGTGCTTTACATCCATGGCTAGAAAATGAAGAAAACAAGATTCTATTATGAAAACAATATGAAATAAGAAAAATCACTAGATATCAATTATAAAATCTTGATCTAAAACTATATGTATATATAAAATCATATTAAGTTCAAATAAAAAATCAAAACCAGTAATATGTACTAAGCAAATATCTACTACATGAAAGTGTCCTTATAAAGATATGTCTTAAGTCTATGTGATAGATATGGTAGATAGATAGATAACTTTTATTTATCCACGGTAGATCCTTCAGGAGAAATTACATCATATCACTAATTAACTACAATTTCATCAAAGAATATACTAAGCTTACTAGACTAAACTTTTCTAAACTCACTACACTACACTAAACTATGAATGTATTTACAGTTATAAAAATAAAAATAAAAATAATGATATTACTCAAGGGAAAATAAAACCTGCTTTACAAGGATGCTGTGCCTTAACAATAATAGAATACGAAATAATGGTTAAATTTCATGTCGTAGCATTAAAGATTTAAAAGACTTTATAGTTGTAGCTGTTCTCAGTTCATTTGGTAAACTATTCCAGACTATGCAATATATTCATTAACATCCAACTGTTATGCACCATTAGCCACATAGTATGCGTTATCACTGTAGTAATTCATAATCTCTATGGCAGAGTAAAAATTTTTTCAAAAGAATTTTATATTGTCAATAATTGGTATGTCAAAAAGAATGTTATCTTGGGAAAGGTGCTGTTTTTATTTGGGGGGTGGGGGTGGGGTATTCGGTGTAAACTTCTTTAAAATAGTTGTTGGCCTCCTCCTTTCACTCAAATGATTTCATGACCCTTCTATTGAGTACGTACATACATACATACAACTTTATTTGTTTCAGCAGGTCTAAAAACTGGCAGCTATATAGCTGATGTGGACCTGCATATCTAACTAACTATTTAACAAACTATTTAAGATAAATAGAATAAAAAATTAAAAAAAAAAATCTAATAATGAATCTATAATAGAATTATAAAGGAGTCAACAAGGAACTAGTGTTTGTCAAAATAAAAGGCTTAATCSTCCACAAAAGTTTACACTTTTACTGTTGACCCTTCCCTATGAAGTCCCAGCGCTGACCCCAATAAAAGCATACATTTAACACTGTTTGAGCAACTAATTGCTTAATCCCAAATGTCAACACACTTATATGAATTCATTCTTCTCAAATAATGTAAAATAAAGCACCAAGTCAATATTAAATCACAGCATGAACAGTTGAAAACATCATTGATTGTATATTTTACTAAATATTTATTTTACATTTTTTGACCTTTTGTTGATAATACCAGTAGTTGAAGGGTTTGTTTTGTAATAATGTGGTAGGAAGATGTTTTCTTCTTTTAACACTAAAGAATTCATTAATTCCTTGTAGTATTGTAGGTTAGGGTACACTGTCAGATCATATATATGTGTATTTCTATTAGTGTATAAGCTGGTTCATCATTTTCATTATGTGTGTAAGATAGGTCTTTTACTCTGATGAAGGACTAGCGTCCGAAACATCAGTAAGTTTTTTCATCTTTTCACGGTGTATAATTTACCTGTTTCATTAGAAACACTGACGCAGCTCACACTAGTTTTTAGCTAGTTATCTCTTCCTATTTTATCTATTTAGATTTTAATGTCAAATTTTATTTCCTAATACTATTCAATTTGATTTGTACCTAACAAAAGTTGTATATAATCCTGTTATCAGAAAGAATAGTGAACAGAAAGAACAAATCCTGCTAATTCTTGTCATACAAGGATCATTATGACCTTAGATCTTTCATTAAATCAAACAGATTTGGATTATTGAGAAATAACCTGATGTTATCTGTCTGTTGTCAGCATTCTACTTCTGCATCTTATCCTCTATATTTTTGTTAATAACCTCTTTAACTAGACATGTTCTTTGAGGAGAATCTAACAATGCTCTTAAAGATATAGAGGATATTACATGGGCGTGCGGAGATACAAAATTTATCTTTGAGTGTTGAAAAGATATCTCAAAAGTGAGAGATTTTCAACACGAGAAGATAAATTTCGTATCTCCAAGCGCCCATGTAATATTCTGTTTATTATATATTTATC